TTGGTACCACCAAGGTTACAGAGATCCCGTTCCAACCGATCGTCGAAAGACAGTAGCCGTCATACAAGTAGAATATTCGAAATTCGTCACTAGTGGGTTTCGAACCCCCTACCTAGCCGACATATCGCTTGGGAGTGCGACAACTTAACCACTTCACTAAGTCACCACACCCTCTCATTCTAAATTATAAAACTAAATAGAAATCATTATTCATATAAAAGTTCTTTTGTGAATATGTACGCACAGTTTTCTCATACACAATTTCACAAACTAAAAAAAAAAAAAAAAAAAAAAAAAAAAAAAAACAATTTCACAAACTAGGATTGCAATTTATTTATTAAATCAAATTGAATATTTTTTTTATTGCCTATTTATTTTGGCGTTGAAATAAGATTACATATTGAGTTTGAGTTTGACATATAAACTTGTTCTTGAATTTTCGTAAAAAGATTGCTTTAATAGATTTTGCTTAAATAGTTTTTTCTCTATTTGAAATATTGAGCTAACAATGGCAACAGATAATGATTCAAAATATAACATCACCAAAAATAACAAAGATGAGCAAAAATTAGAGAATACTTGTAAGTAATCATAATCGTATTCTAAAATTGTAACTTTTAAGTTAATTATATATTAATAATGAATTAGCATTTAGATATTTAAGGAAATTAGAAGAATATTTAGATAAGCTGGGGATAACTAGGTTTGATTGTTTCTAAATTAATTTTGATAACCTTAAAGTAATTGGGCATGGAGGATTTGCTGTTGTTTATCGTGTTGAACTTCAAAACTTAAACTGTGTAATAAAGAGATTAAAAATTAATATATATATAGATGACGAAACTTTTAGACGAATCAAACGTGAGGTACGTAAATATATATATTAAAATTCTATGATAAGAATATATAGTATACCAAAAGAAACTTATCCTGCATACATTAGTTAAATGTTGATACTATATGGACTTAGAATAACACCCACCTGTGTGTTAATTAATTGACCTGCACATTATTTCAAGTGCATCTATATGCGTTATTTCGAAATATAGGTTAAATAAATATTCTTTAATTATAATGAGTATAGTAAGAAATTAAAAGTGCCCCTGAACTAGATTTTGTACTGAAACCTGTTTTTACTATTGTTATAATTATCTTAATCTAAAGAACAACTTTTGTTAAAGTGTGAAAGCGGGCTTACTTAGTATTAAATCTAGTTCCAGCACACTTTTTATTTTTTATTTTTTTTTTATAGAAGGATGCACGTTAATTCAAAACTACATATGTTATTTTTAAAGATTTTAATTTTCAAAATAACGCCCACAGGCATTATTCCGAGTCTATGGTATAATTTATATAACTATATATATAAATCTCCTAATTGATATTTTCACTGCAAGAAACCCCTTATGTATAGCATTAGTGTACCTACAAAATGTTATTCTGGTAGTTTTGACCAATCGAATTTTATAACAATATAACAAGCAATTTTGTAGGCGTATTATCTAAATCTTTACAAAGCAACGAGCTCTCATCTAGTTATAATAAAGAATACTTTAGTTCTATGCTTACTATATGCCCAAAGACTAATGAATTTAATTAATAAAAATAGATTAAGTATCACTATAAAGTTGACTACCCTAATGTTATTAAATTTTATAGATTTTCAAAAGATATATATATTTAATCATTCATGGTATAGAAACTACTGCAAATTTGTAGAAAGTATTAAATTTCGGAAATATTTTGGTAGCTTTATATTAAAAATCAAGGCTAAGATACTTTTTGTTTCTACGCTACGTATATATTTTATTAACATACAATTGTATAAAGATTAATTTAGAAAACGTCAATTCATAGAAATTTACTATTTATTCATATCTTTCACATAACTTATAGTTACATAAACATGATACATAACAAATTATAGTCAATATAGAAATAGTAAATTTCAGTCGACCCACATATGGCGCAGAGGGTTTAAATAGATAACTCCCTAGTTGGGTTATAGGTATGGCATCTAGTGTAG